ATGAATACATAAGTATCATTTAGCTGGCAGGATATAGTTGCAAAGTAATACAGACGGAAGTGACACACTATGACACAATAAAAATTATTTGTAAATGGATTAATTCAGCAAGGAGTATAACATATTGAAATAATCTTGAGTTCATAAGCACTATCAGAGATTTAGATAGGAACATTAGATTAAAAAAAAACACTAAAAGGCTTTGTTTCATTTATCTCACTAAACGAATGAAAATACCTGGGAAGGTACAACAACTTGTTGAATCCATACTTAGTGTAGAGCCCTAGTGATCAGACCTCTAGTCCAGTACTATTTTTATAATACCAGTCAAACCCAGGAAACTCCCCATCATCTGCTCACCTTCCCAGGCGCAGCCACAGGACAGGCTGGTAGTTAATGTTTCTCTGTATTACTAATAACTCCCTAGGCCATAGCAGACACACCCAACAACAGTGACTCAGGGAGGAACCAAGACCTGAACTCAGGAGATGCAGTACACGGCACCTCAGGAATTACTCTGCCCTAATTTTCACTAGACTTTTGCTTATATATCTTCCTGACTCAATATTTCACAAGAGTAAGATTCACATCTTATAGAAGCAGTTAGCCTAGAATTAGGAAACAGGCAAATAGTATTCTGGTTAAACATTTACATACTCAAAACTATCAAAAGTTATACTTTATGGATATCTACCACTGAGTGGCTAGAAGAAAAATTACTTTAATGAAAGATGACTTTTTTAAAGTAATTAGAGAGGATACTTTTATAAGAGGCATTCATGGTAATTAGAAATACATGCATATATCATTGGGAACGCCTCTTGAGAGACAAATAATTACCTGGGAAAGTCTTGCTAGATGCTATCAGACTTTAAAAAGTTAACCCAAATGTATTTATGTCAACCTCACAGTGAAAAATAGAAAGAGGACAGAAAAAGCACCCATAAATAAAAATATGGCCCTAGTAGGGCACAAGTAAGATGTTACCAGCACTTGGATTTTCCCAAAGGAAAATTTTCAGATAACAATATAAACAAACACACAAAAGAAAAAAAGGAAGAGAAAAAGAAAAAAAGCAAGCAAAAGAAAATAAAATGAAAAAATACCCTTTAAACAACTTCTAAGTGATAATGAAAAAATAAAATGAATCAATAAAAATAAATCCATGGATTTCTAAAATAAATAAATCTATGAACTTCTCATGTAAAGATTATATTCTGCTTATAAAAGCAGAATGATTTAAAGATTGTATTGTTTAAGATAGAAACTGTGAAGACTGAGAAACAGAACCTCATCTTAACTGGAGTGGGGAGGGCCCGGAGGGGAGTTCTCACTACCTCTAGTATTCAAACCCCATCTCCAACAGGAAGGTGTTTGTTTACAACTACTTCAGCAGGAAAGAGGCTCTTCTCCTCACCCAGCAACCATTCAGCCAATGAAATACTGTTATAACTCAGCCAGTGAAAAGCCACTACACTTCAAAATTCTCTTTTTCCTCCAATGGACTCTCGTTATAACATCCCCTCTGAGTCCCCCACTTTCCCCTATAAAAAAAAAATATTTGTCTCCTTTGTTCTCTGGACCTGTGCATGGGTTGCCATTAGACCACATGTCCCAAATTGCTATTCATTTTTGTTCCTGAATAAACTTATTTTTACAGAGAGAAATATCTAGCTATTTGTTTAAGGTCAACAAATCAAAATGCATATGCTAGTGAAATTCAAAACCAAAATATTTGCAGTAAAGATAAACAAGATATAGTATTTATTTATTTTCTCTAGGGACTGGAAGGCTAACTTGGTGATTATGATTAGACTTCAGATGTTTGGACTGCTAAGAAAATTGCTTCTAGATTCTTTTCATTTTAAGATTTTTCAATAATATGGCATTTATATTCACAAGTACCTTATCTCAGTTGCAAAAAGAACAGTGGAAATGCATTTAAATTTTTCCGAGATGATGGGGAGAGGTCAAAATGGTATAGAAAACAGATGACTCAAAGAACTTGTATGTACAACCCATGGCCATGACTACGGTGGCGGGGAATGCTGGAGGGTTGGGGGGTGCAGGGTGGAGAGGGGATAAGGGGGGAAAATTGGGAAAACTGTAATAGCATAATCAATAAAACATACTTTAAAAAATAAAATAAGAAGAAGTAAAATAAAAATAAAATTTCTGAGATGGCTTTCTGAGTGCTGTTTGATGGTTTCTAGCCCTGTTTGTTTGGCCTCATATTTCCATAGAGTTTCATAATAATAATCACCAAAAACAATCCCTGAGAAATCTGGAAGCATAAAACTTTCTTGTACCCATTAAAATATGCATTATTCAAAGACTTTCTGGGAAAAAAGAAAAGATTGTCCTATTTATAATGCCATGACAATTCATTGAGAGTTACCAATAAAGAGAACTTGTCCTCTGAACACAGTTCAAAAACAGAAAGTTTATATGATAACTAATAGACTTTCACTGATTTTGAAGATTGTAACAAACTGATTTATCTGCTGAGTAAATGATAGTCATGAAAACCATGCTTAATATTTAAAAAGTGTCTGACAAGCTTTTATTTCATACTAATATTTGCTATTACTTTAAAAGTTCTCACAGGATTCTGTCCAGTATTGGCTAAATAGTATAAAATCTTATAAAAGATTTTCATTTCTGGAGTGCTGGATCCTTCAAAAATCTTTAAGTAAACAGTGACATATAAAGAAATTTCCAATATACTTCAGAAATATATATTCAATGCATATATATATATAGCTCATTTGACCTCAATGTTTATTGCAACTGGGGAGAAACTAACACATTCTTCAATGCTTTGGGAGGAAAAAACACTTGTTATCTGTTATGATTTATATTCAATTGCAACATATGCAATTTACAAGGCTCAAATAGCTCTCTTTCTTTGAATTCATCTTGGATGTATATATACAAATTGAACAGAGGTAAAAAATCCTCTTTCTTATTTTATGTCACTTTGATTTTGTGTATGAGAAGCATAACATTACTCTACTCTTTCATAATATGAACTTCAACTTCCTCAGTTCCTCAATGCACATGGGAGTTCCCAGCAGACAAAGAACAGGCAGAGTGTATTACTTTTAGAATCTCTCTGAATAAATAGCTGCCACATTAAAAAGAAAAATATAACAAATGGCCATGACTACTATTCAGTTTCCAGTCAGTGCTAGTACAAGAACTGATGATACCTCCTGAATTTCATTTTGCATCACAGAAATGTAATGCCCATAGGAAACTAGCCATGGTATAGGCTGAAGATTTCATACTAATAAGTTTACTGTACTAATATTAATCTTCACTAATGTATCTTTTAATTGTCAGTTAATGACAGAGTGGTTCAAAAATGTATCCTGTCCCCAAATAAAAATTAGCAAATGTTGGTACTTGGTATTTGTTATTTTACCTTTATAAGGGCTCATATATATTGTTGACTTTTGTTCTGTTGTTTTACAAAATACAATTGTATAATTTGTTCAAAGAGCATAGGATAGTCCAGTTTTAAAAATACTCATGGTTCCAGTCAGGAAATTGAACTGATAGCTCAATTCATTCAATAAAAGTTTGGACACCTACCATGTGCCTGATTCTACAGCTAATTTTTAAAAACTGAAATAGATTAGTGCTTTCTATAATGTAATCCTGTTGAAGGAGTTAAAAATGCTTAAAAGTCAGTTTATTTGAATTCAAGAGGTTTGGGGGGAAAAAACACCTTACTTTTACAAAGCTTACATTTGATATTAGCCTCAGAACATTGTGTCTCCCTAATATGACTGTGGGGTTATTAGTTGCTTGTCTTAACAATCTGTCTTGTCACTGTAGATTTCAAGGATCTTGCATTTCTGTACTCCATAAATGCAAGCTTCTCAAGTATGTCTTGTTGACATGAAAGAAAGCAACCTCACCTATGTGTGCACCCTAAGGTCCCTTTTAGATTTAAATTTCTATATTGTATAATATCCATAATTAAGAAAAAGACACTTTATAGTTAAAAATCATAACTTTTCATTCATACATTTTAAAACTCTAGGTTGAGTTCAATAAACAACCAGGAAATTCTGTTATAGTCTCCTAAGTGCCTATCATGGTACTGATACATGTTGCTGAGACATGTTACAAGTCTCAGTAACTTTTACTTAATTGATTGAAGAAAATGTCTACAGTTTAAGCCCTGCCTGGCATAGCTCAGTGGATTGAGTGAGGGCTGCGAACCAAAGCATCGCAGGTTCAATTCCCAGTCAGGGCACATGCCTGGGTTGCAGGCCATGGCCCCCCGCAACCGTGCATTGATGTTTCTCTCTCTCTCTCTTTCTCCCTCCCTTCCCTCTCTAAAAATAAATAAATAAAATCTTTTTTAACATGTCTACAGTTTAATATGAGCTCTAAAACAAAATTTCTGAGATTTATAACCCAATATAAATATTTAATAAAGAAATACTGAGGCCCCAAAATGGGAAGTAACTCAGGGCCTTCCTTCAGAATTTTACATTATTATGCCTGATTTTATATTGTTTTCACACAACTCAGGAAATAAATAAGTAAATCTATGACTTATTCAATAGTATAAACTATATCCAGAGCAAAAATTAAGGCTCAGTCCTATTAAGAACAAAGAAAATTTCAGCAGATTTACCAGTAACATGTTTTCTTTCAGAGATTAAGCAAAATTTAAGTGCTTTGAATTTATAAATATGTCAAATCAGCTTATTCACTGTCCAGATTCGTTAGCCTTCAGGGACATAAGAATGTACAATACATTATCAAGAGAATGAACTCTCCACCATTAGCAGCAACTTCAGAACTCTCAAATATCTGCAAGATATGAAAAGTGCAATCCTCCTATATATCCATGTGTATATACCTTGAAAATATTAGGCATGGTTGATACATATAAAGATTATTTTAATATATATATGTGTTACACTATTACGATGCTTTTCCATGTTTCAATTTTTTGTTTAGAAATAAAAAATCATTACCTTTCTGGCTTCTTTTATCATTTTCCGAATAGTTTCCTTAATTGTAAGTAGTTGTGCTCTTGGTGGATGAAAGAGGAGGTCTATATGAGTGCCCCCTAAGAGTCCGGGCATCACGTAGGGCCAGCCTAAGTCAAGATCTGGAGCTTCCACATCAGACTCAATGGGCCAGTAAGTCCCTGAGGATGAGGTATCATCACAGGAATTATCAGTGCCATGTACTGTACTTTGTGCCATTTTCTGGACGTTTTTCAAAATATAATTAATTTCTTCCTCAGCTAGAAATTCTGATACTCGTTCCTTGGCAAGAAATTCATGGTATGCTTCTAACCCATGTTCAATCAGCGTATCAATGGCTACCCGGTACCATTCCTTGTAGTGAGGCTCAATGTAATTATCTGATTTACACTCATCATTCAGTGAGGACAGCATCGACGAGGTCTCCATGCTTGCGAGTGTTTGGCAGTACCACTTTCAAACATCCATCTGTGCAACAATGAGAAGTATCTGGGTGTTTGAAAAAAAGGAAAATTAAGATCAGTTAGAATTCTGTAATCAAATATTTTATAATTCATGTTAACCATTATTTTTACATTTACTCATTTCCACTACTTGTAGATCAGTATGGCATATATTTAATATCAAAAGTAGCATTAATTGCACCATAATTCGAAAACTACCACAAATAGATTTCCTTTTCATAGGCTATTAGTTGATTTTCCATTTCCAAGGCCTCCACTTTCAGCTTCTCACCTAAGGAAATACACTTTCCTTCTCTGACATCCAGGAAGTCTATCCTTCTTAACTTTAATCTGATACTACACATGGTGGTATCAGTTTCTATAAGCCTATTTGATTTTGGTTTTAAAATATTTAAAAAATAGAATTAGAATGCAATTAGTGCCTGGCCAGACAATGACATTAGTTTTTACTAATGTCATTTTACCTTTTATGCATATGATCACATACTGATGAAATATAAAAAGCACGAAACACTTGCTTTACAGGAATGTATTAATTAGCTGAAGAGGCAAAGTGCACACACACAAGGCTGTTTATTACCACTTCAAACAAAGCTGTTTATTGCCAAGGGCCAAATGAGCACTGCCGGCTACCTATGCTTTCAGATAAAAGCAAGTAGAAATCAATTCAGAATATAGGAGTTACAGAGATCCCTGCGCAGGAGGTGGGTTTCAGCTGAACCTGGGATGCCGAGTGAGAGCACAATCAGGTAGCAAGAATGAATATTTTCATCCCACATAAGAAGGAAAAACAAACAAAAGCACAAAACAGGTACGAGCTTGTACATTCAGGTCTTGTGAAAAAAACTTGGTCTTCCAGAAAGCAGGTTCCTTTTAGTAGGAGTAGGAGATAACACTGAATAGACACAATGGAGCCAGGTGTGGAGGGGCACAGGAGATTTTGTGATTCAGCAAAACCTGTGTTTGAAACAATTAGCCTGGCACTATCAGGGGAATGGAGGACAGAAAAGCAGCTAGGACAGTCTTTCAGCATTCAAATACCTAGTTAAGAAGTGACAAGTGTATTCCAGAGACAGTTCAAAGCAAGAACTCCTGAGATTTGATGGCTTGAGAGCATACAGGTGAAGAAATTTAAGACATTAAGATAATTAGGGATATCTCTGCGGAATCAAAATCAGCCTATTCAAGCTCACACCCCATCCTCCACAATGCCCCACAATGTTATTCATTCAATCACTCACCGTGTGAGATATTGGATTGGACTTTATCTCAATCAAATAAGGGACCTTCCAGTCTTTTGAAATCATGATCTCCACTATGTGGATTCAAATGAAGTACAACTCTATGATGTGCTACAAGCACTAAAGGACCGATTTGACCAAAAAAAAAATCTTTGTCAGTTTCCTGTCTCTAATTTAAAACATTCCTCTTAACAGCCTTTTCAGACTAAGGCCTACCAAAATTCAAATCCAATTTGGGAGGGTAACCAGGAACTATTACCATTTATTTACTCCTTCACTCTAAAAATGTAATAAGAGCCACTAATCATACAGAGAGGTTGAAAAGGAATGGACAATAGGGACACAAGTTCTACTGGGCAGGAAGGGACCGAAAAAGATCCAGCATATACTAAGCAGAGCTGAGGAGCAAAATAAAGGGTCTACTTTCCTGTTTTATTGGAGACAATCCTGTCCCTATGTCTAAGCTCAGAATTTTCACTGACACAGTCTAAAAGTATAGAAAGCCTAAGATTAAATCTGATATAATGAAGACTGAACATGTATATGCTACTGACATGTAGTGTTTAGAGTCCAGGGACATGGCTAAACATACTTTAGCATACTGGACAGCACCCATGTTAAGGAATTATCTGGCCCAAAATATCATGAGTGCCAAGGCTGAGAAATCTTCACCTTTCTCACTTCACATGCATGGTATCATACTACTAATGAATGACCTTTTCAGTGTTCATTAAAGTTCTCTTTTACATGTTATACTCATTTGTAACAAAGAAAAAGGGGTTTATCTACTTAACAATTCATTTGATTAAAGCACCCTTCCCTAAGGTTTACTAAGGTGTAATTTTCATTTGGTAATTTCAGCATATGACAGGATAAGCATCCGGTGATCACATGAAAATCACATCTACCATTCATAGCTATTAAAAATGGTAGTTAACTGCTGGTTGTTCAAAAAGAAATCTTGTTTTGTTAGCACTTATTTATTAGTTTTTAAAATTTAACTTTTGGCCCTGGCTGGTGTGGCTCAGTAGATTGAGCACTGGCCTGCAAACCCGGGGGTAGCCGGTTTGATTCCCAGCTGGGGCACATACCTGGGTTGCAGACCAGGTCTCCAGTGGTGGGGCATGCAAGAGGCAACCACACATTGATATTTCTCTCCCTCTCTTGCCCTCCTTTCCCCTCTGTCTAAAAGTAAATAAATAAAATCTTAAAAAAATAAAATTAACTTTTGAATTCCCATAATATGTGATATTATAAACCTATTACCTATTTGAAAGTTAAATGCATAAAGTACTTTTAAAAACTGTATTCTTTTCTGAGCTTCATCTATGCAAATATATACTTAGCTATGGTAAAAAAAAAATTCTTTCTTGAACTATGGGTGACCCAAGAAATCATAGAGATTAAGAGAACTATGAAAGCAAAATATACCCACAAAGACACACTTGAAAAGTTAATCACAAAAGAAACAACAATTGAAGATGAGAAAAAGAAATGAAACACTAAAACTTATCAAACAGTAATGCCAGATACAACCATACAATGCTGAAAAACACAGCAGAAAAAATGCAATAGCCTTGAACACGAAAGTTGAGACAGTGTGTACAAGGGTTAAAACAAGAAATAAATAACACTTGATGTTGTTCTCCTGAAGAAGCAGTACTCTAACCACTGTCTACAGATATGCATTTATCACAAGGGCTGTTTTTGTGAAGAAACAATCTACAAAGAAATTTTAAGGTAGAACAGCAAGGTAATGGCACTTGCATGAATGGCCACTGCAATAAAATAGCACCTGTATTTAGACACAGACTTAATACTGAACTCTCAAGCAATCACTGAACATTTGAAGGGCTTAAACTGAGGATAAAATACTGTTATGGGTAGCTCTTTATAAAATATAAAAGCACACTATTTTATTAATAATGATTAAACTTGCCCAGAATGTGTATTAACATATAGTTGATGAGTAGAGAAAAAAATAAAATCTCCCTATGAGGTGAATGCTGAAGCAACTACTAGGCTCATCTACTAGTTAAGTGACTCATTTCAGAAAAATAGTCTTATGTAATAACAGACTCACATCCATGCCTCATAACCATTACAAATTGCATTTAATACTGAATGTTTAGTGTCATTTTTGGGGAAGTATAATTTCCAAATGTTAAATATGTAAATACAAAGAATATAAAACAAGGTATAAAAAATTATATTTCAAAACAGTTTGGCAGTTTCATTTATAAAACTAAATATGCAAATGACTTATGATACCACAATGGCACCCTTGGGATTTATCCCAGAGAAATGAAAACTTATCTTCGCATAAAAACTGTCTATTAACGTTCATTGTGGCTTGATTCATAATAGCCCCAAATGGAAACAACCCAAATGTCCTTCCACAGGTGAATATTAAACTGCTGTACACTCATACTATGGGATACTAATCAGCAATAACATGCACGAACTACTGATGCACATTATAATGCAAATGAATGTCCAGAGAATTATGCTGAGTGAAAAAAATCAATCCGAAAAGATTACATGCTGCCTGATTCCAGTTATGACAAAGAAGTGGAGATTAGCTTAGTGGTTGCCAGGGTTCGCCTCAATGAGTCATTCTAAGGAGGGTGTGTGGAAGGAGAGAGGGTAAATGTCGAGTGGTGATGGAAATGTTGTATATCTTGACAGTATTAATGTCAGTGTATTGGTTGAGATAAAATATTATAGTTTTGCAATATGTTACTAGCAGGGAAAACTGAGAAAAGGATACAAAGAATCCCTCTGAATTATTTCTCTCAACTGCCTGTGTATTGACAATAATCTCAAAATAGAAAAGTACAATTAAAAAATCATACTGATGAGCAATCTCATGTACCTTGAATAGAAAAAAAAAAAAAAAGCAATAAGCCCTGGCTGGCGTAGCTCAGTGGATTGAGTGTGGGCTGCGAACCAAAGTGTTGAAGGTTTGATTCCCAGTCAGGGCACATGCCTAGGTTGCAGGCCACGGCACCCAGCAACCGCACATTGATGTTTCTCTCTCTCTCTCTTTCTCCCTCCCTTCCCTCTCTAAAAATAAATAAATAAATCTTTTTTAAAAAAAGGAAAAAAGCAATAAATAGAAGACAGAGTGATGACTTATTTGTAGGGTGAGACTGCCAGGTTCAAAGCCAGTTTGCCCAATTATGGTGAAGCTCTTGGACAGGTAACCTATGTCCAAAGGCTCAGTTTGGTCTTGTGTGGAAAGAAGAGTAACAGTAGTCTTCACCTTGCTGAGTCATTGTAATGAATAAATGAGATAAAGCAGCACTTGAAGTGCTTAGCTTTTAGCATTATTATTATTATTTTACATTTAAACAACTTGTTAATGTAAAATTGCTGTAAAGATACAAAAGAAATTGATCACAAAAGTTTTTTTAAGATGCGATAAAAGATTGTCATTCACGATTTCAGCAACTGCAGTATAAATAAATGGTCAAACCTACTGTCAATTTGTTTATGGTTTCTGATTGAGATTCACTGAAAAGACTTCTGAAATAATAAGTCAATAAAAATGTTTCAAAGAGAAATTACAAGGTTCTTAAATCACACATAATCTGAAGTTATAATTACTGTACTGAATTAATGTGCAAGCAGAAGACCCAAAGACAAGACCTGGAAAGGATCCTATGAGCTAATATCTCTGAGGTCCCTTTTCTGACTTCTATCTTAGGCTGTTTCTATTTAGCTACTGAACAGTGTTATAGGTTGAACTGTGTCAGCCAAGAAGGTATGTTCAAGCACAAAT